TAAGACTGCCATTATTCTCACATGGTATCAAGAGCTATAGGGTTATTAGCCAGTTACAAATTTTTTCGATGTCTTCTCCCAATACTACCGCCGTCGCCGCCTCTTCGGTCACCGCCGCCGTCTCTACACGCCGGTGACCAATTCTTCTGTGCTGAGCGCGATAGACATGACCGTGACGGATCCTATTGATTCTAACACTCTGGCGCCGATCACTTCTGAGCAGCCGAGTTCTCAGATCACGTTTTCGAGTCAAGAATTTGCACCATCTTCGTCGTGGGTCCCACTGATTTTCACGTGGACACCGACGGTTCCCAGCCTTCATCCGCATCTTCCGCCGCCGGCAGTGCGCTTCGCCGAGTCCAGCAGCAGCGCCGGACGACGGTTCTCTGGACCGACCCTCTCCCGCAACCCCGGCCTTGTCATGCCGCAGTCGGCCGGCCGTATTGGCCGCCGCGATGATGTTTCTCCGATGCCCAACTCGTTTGTGTCTCATGCTTAAGGAATGGGTTTTGGTGCTTCCTCAATCACAACTATTGTGACTATCAAAGTGTTGGCTGTTGAAGATTACTGACCATGGCGTACTCAGTTTGAGTCATTTTTGGACTTTAATGGTCTTTTGGGTATTCTTGATGACTCCTTACCTGCCCCACCGTTATACACCTATGATTTATATCAAACCCAGACCATGAATCCTGAGTATTATCATTGGTTAAAGTAAGATCGGACTATTCGTTCTTGGTTGTTTGCTACCCTCTATCGTGATATACTTGTTGAGGTGCATCAATTAAAGAATTCTACCGCTATTTGGGAACGCTTGGAGGCTCGGTTTGTGACTGCTAGTCTGGCTAGATCCATCGAATAAACAGATGTTGTCTCACATGAAAAAGAAAGAAAATCAGCCCATGGATCAATATTTACTTGAAATTCGGAAAATTGCCGAGTCTCTGGCCTCCATAAATTCTCCGGTGTCTGATCATGATCTCTTGCAATATGCGTTATTGGGATTAGGTCCGGGAAATGAATCAATTGTGGGGCCTCTTACTCTATTCCCGGAAGGTCTTACGTTTGATAAATTGTGCACCAAACTTGTTCATCAAGAAGCCCGTCTTACTACCAGCAACGTTTAGAGACCACCGTTGGAGCCCCAATCTTAACAGCACACGGCCAGCAACCTGCCACTCTAGGACATCAGCCGCATCCGGCCCCGCAGCCCCAACAGCCGCAACAGCGCGGGGGGCGTGGTCGCAACAGAGGACCACGCGGACGAGGAAACCGCGGACGAGGTCATGGTGGTCAATACTATCAGCAGCAGCCCCACTTCGACCAACAGCAGTTCTATGGCGCCGGACAGCAGCAGCAACCGGCGAACGGGGCCTATGGCCGAGCACCTCCACCACCGCAGATGATGGGTATACCGGGTACAGTTAATTGTAATTCTGTTGGGTCATTGTTTTATACTCCTGCACCATATATTTCTTGTACTAACTATGCTTCTGCAGGATCTTCACCCTTTGAGAATAATTTTGGTTCAGTTCCTCCTCCCACCGTATGTCAAATTTGTCACTCTCAAGGTCATTCTGCCATTACCTATTCATCTCGTTTTATTCAACCTTCTGCACCTGCTTTGGCCGTCCCTACTGGAGAATCTTGCTCTACTATTTGGTATCCTGACTTTGGCGCTTCCGCTCATATGACTCCTAACGAAGGTATTTTAGAAAATAAATCTATTTATTCTGGACCACTAACAGTGACAGTTGCTAATGGTTCTAATTTACCTGTTGTGACTGTTGGTGACTTAGCTTTATCTTCTCCGCCGCGTCCCCTTCATTTAAAATCTGTTTTTCATGTTCCTCATCTTAAATATAATTTATTATCCATTCAAAGATTATGTGCCGATAATAACTGTTTTGTGATTTTTGATAAAAATTCTGTTTGTGTTAAGGACCACAATTCGGGGGAAGTGTTTCTTAAATCTTCTAATAATGGTGGCGTTTATCCTATTTCCTTGCCTCATACCTCATCTGTTGCCTTAGCTTCTCATGTTGCTCTAGGACCTGTTTGACATCGGCGGTTGGGACACTGTGGCAGTCACATTTTACATTTTTTCCTGGGTGTCCAAGCTATCCGTGTTCCTAAAGGCTTATTTCTGTCTCAGCAAAAATATGTATCTGATCTGTTAACTAGGTTTCATCTTCATACTCTTAAACCTGTTCGCACCCCTCTTCCTTCTAGAACTAAGTTATCTCTCACTGATGGTGAACTTCTTGCAGATCCTACGGAGTACAAAAGTATGGTAGGTGCTTTACAGTATTTGACCATGACTCGACCTGATATTACATTTGCTGTTCACTTAGTTTCCCAATTTATGCATGATCCCCGTACTTCCCATATTTTGGCTGTTAAGCGCATTTTCAGGTACCTCCAGGGCACTCCAAATTACGGCCTCTTTCTCCAGCCGGATCGGTCTTCTCCCACTGTTCAGGCTTATTTTGATGCTAATTGGGCAGGATGTCCTGATAGTAGCCGCTCCACGTCTAGTTTTGCTATTTTCTTGGGTCCAAACTTGATTTCCTGGAAGTCCAAGAAGAAGCCCAATGTATCCCGATCCTCTACTGAAGCCGAATACAGGGCCATTGCCTACACAGTTCAGGATACGCTACATATTAGGTCCATACTTTTCGAGTTAGGGCTACGCATTCGCAGTCCTGTTCGTTTGCTATGTGACAATGTCTCCGCTTCATATTTATCTACTAATCCTATTCAGCATGCATGTAGCAAACCCATCAGCATTGATTATCATTTTGTTTGTGAGCGAGTTTCACATGGAGATTTGGTTGTTCGTCACGTCCCTACGCAGTATCAGCTTGCAGATATCTTCACCAAGTGTCTGTCTCCGCAGCGGTTTATTTTTCTTAGAGATAATCTGCGCATTGGTCCTCTGCACAGATTGAGGGGGTGTAATAGTGGATTATTTACATTAATTAGCATTAATTAGCTTTCCATATTTTATTAGTTTCCTATTGTAATCAGGATACTCCTTTATTATATATATATGACATCCAAGGCTACCACATTGGTAAGCCTGCCATTATTCTCACAGAAAGAACATACTAAATGCTAGAAAAGATTGAAGAGGTTGACATTTTTGTATTTAAATTCAAAAACACTCCAATAGTGAAAGAAATTTAGTAAAAATATAGAAAAATGACAGTATACAATCGTATAATATCATCTTTATTAAATCCACGAGAACATATAAAAAGAATATCATTAAATTATTGGATAGAATACAAATATTTAATGTTCTTCTTCTTTGTTCTAAGTTGAATATTAATTCTAATATAGTTCATAGTTGAATCATAAGAACTATGATTCAAATCATATTAATTAAGTTATAAAACTACACAAATATGATACAACAAAAGTCATATACAGTACACTACTAGAAATTAATAGTCATTGATGTTTTTTAAAACTTTGGCATTCTTTCATTATATACCAAATATAACATAAATTAATTATCTAAAAGGATGCATGACTAAAGTTGTTGGTCTATAAAAGATATTTATGGGAATGGAAAAATATATAAAAAATTCAAAGACATTATTTTTGAACGGTTCGGTCCGGTATTTTTCGGTTCTCGATATCTAGGACCGGTCCCATACTTGTTTGAACTGGTACGGTTTCGGTTTGTGATATAATTTTATAGAACCATTTAAATACCCGATATTCGGTTCGGTACCATTACGGGCCAGTTCGGTACCGTTTCGGTGCGGTTTTTATGCCCACCCCTAATATATATTATTATCTATATGCTATCCTCCGTTCTTTAATTCTTGTAACACTTTGACTTTCATGTTTGTCAACGCACAACTTTGACGGTAATTATATTTAATTATGTATTAGTAAAGATTATAAAAAGTTGATATATTGGAAATTCACATTAATAGGAATTCAATAACACTTTATAAATGATAATTTGATAATGTATATTAGTATAAAATCATAGTCAAAGTAAGACATGTTAATAGTGCAAAAATCACAATGTTGCAAGGATTTTAGGAATTGGGCTATGATGCTTGGTGATGTAATAGAGCCGAGCTCTTGGAATGCATGGTGAGATAGTAGGCTTGTGTCCTATGATTTGCATGGTGATGTATTTGAGCCGAGCTTTAAGAAATGCACGGTGAAGTATTAGGATTGAGTCCTGTGATTTGCATGGTGATGTACTTGAACCGAGCTCTAAGAAGTGCATGGCGAAGTATTATATTCAAGTCCTATGAATTGCATGGTGATGTACTTGAGTCGAGCTCTAAGAAATGCAAGATGATGTACTAGGGTTGAACTCTATGATTGTTGTGACTGGTAGTCACGGGGAATAGGGAAGGTGTTTTCAAATGAACATGGGCCCACAGACCGACTACTTGACTTTATATAAAGTAAGTATATTTTCAAATGGGGTAACTTGGAGTTACGGCCTAGATTATACTATCACCATATTGAGGTCTTGTGTTTGAAATACTTGTTGTATATCTATTAGATGTCATCAACACCAGTACTTTATAGTTTAGAGAAAGTACTGATCCCTTTGGGGGAATCCCACCACCTTTTCAGGTTGAGGCTAGGGCTTGCTTCCTGTACCCATTGCTCGGATGATCATCTTGAAGAGAAAACTTGGTTCGTGCTTCCTCCATTCTGTTTTTGAACAATGATAAACTTGCTCATGAATATTTTACTTTAGAGCCTGCGTGCTCGTGTTTGCCCCATGTGGCATTTGGTTTTAAACTATATTTTCTATTGCGTATTGAATCGCTTATTATGTTTGTTTATGAATGACTTATGTGTGAATGATATTCATTTCCTCCTCCAATAATCCTCTTATTCTCTGAGCAAGATTAATCGTTGAACATGAGAAAGATTTGAAGCGATTATTGACGAGATTAACCTGATTGCTTCCTCTCATTCTAGCAATCTTAAACTCATACAAAAAACTACCTGTTTGTCGCCAAAAAGTTTTAATGGGAAAAATAAAAACAAAGTACTGAATGGAAACATTAATTTAAATCATCAAGAACAACTAAAATAAAATTCCAAAACATAGCCGATCGCTCATTCTATGGCGGCTGTCACGCCCCAGACCGCAATCCAAGCGCGTGTACAACCGCCGTATAACTAAGTGACGTCACCCACGGGTCAACCTCACTTAATTACACAAGGCGTTCGAGAAAACAATCCATCCATACTCAGTAGTAAACATACATAACAACATCACATTAAACCAATGAATAGCGGAAATATTCAACGGTAAGTCATGGGCCACAACCGGCCGACAACATGGGCATGCAAGCCCCAAAAATAGTTTGTAGTAAAACAAATATCCATGAGCAAGTGTTCGGTAGTTTGAAAGAAAATAAGGAAGCACGAACCACGTCTCCCTGATTTGATATCACCCGTGAGAAGGTGCAAGTAGCAAGCTCTAGCTTCAACCTGAAAATGGTGGGGCCCCCCGAAGGGGTCAGTACAAGTACCGAGCGAGTAGCAGGCTAAATATAGAATAACTAGCGTTTCAAGTATAAGACCCAAACATAGGGTGATACTTAAATAAATAATCTTTCCCCCAAGTTATGAAATACTTATTAGTATATATATATACTTGGAAAATATCCGATCCGTAGATCACCATTTTATTCGGGAAAATAGTAATAGTCAATATTCTTGACTAAAAAAAACCCCAACCCACCCATATACCTATGAGTGTATAGGACTCCTCCTTGTCCCTACTTGTATATCACAATCTATGAGTTTTAGGATCATAATCCTTGGATACTCCACCGGTTTGTGAGTGTTAAGGACTCATAAGTCCTAGGGTCCTCCACCAAGTTTGAGTGTTAAGTACTTTTAAGTACTAGGGTCCTCCACCAAGTTTTGAGTGTTAAGTACTTTTAAGTACTAGGGTCCTCCACCAAGTTTGAGTGTTAAGTACTTTTTAAGTACTAGGGTCCTCCACCAAGTTTGAGTGTTAAGTACTTTTTAAGTACTAGGGTCCTCCACCAAGTTTGAGTGTTAAGTACTTTTTAAGTACTAGGGTCCTCCACCAAGTTTGAGTGTTAAGTACTTTTTAAGTACTAGGGTCCTCCACCAAGTTTGAGTGTTAAGTACTTTTTAAGTACTAGGGTCCTCCACCAAGTTTTCCTATGATCAACCTCCTATCAACCTAGATAGAGTCTATATCATCCTTAGTTACTCATAACTAATCCAATACATAAATCTTATGTATCACAATCCATGCAAAGCCATGCATTTAAATAAATGTATAATTAACTAACATCAACCGATATTAATTAATCCATCATCCATCGGTCAACGTTGTCGTTGACCGCCAATTCAAGCCTTGTTCACATCAACTTAATCATCATATAATTAAGTCAATAATACTCATTTGAGCTTCTTTTACACTTCAAGCTAATGTGCATTTTATATAATCTCTCATATCATATTTCATGCATAATCAATTAATTCTTTTCATACAACTTGATAATGTTGGCTAATCACATGTTTAATTATCTTTTAAACATCATTATGAAAACATATAACATTTATTTAGGTAATCTCATAATTAACCCAAAAGTTATAAGATATTAAGCCGTCCACTCACCTTGAGCTAGCGTTTTGAAGTTTTACCCTTCTTGGTTGAACTCCGGTGAAACTCCGGCGACTTTTGGTCAACTCCGGCGACTACTCCGGCGACTTTTCCAACTTTGTGAAATCACTTGAAATACCCTTTACAATTCCCTAACAAGGTTTTATAATCATAAAACCCATATTAATACAAATAACCTCAAAAAGGTTATTTTCCGGTGAACCGGTCGTTTTGGCTTCTAAGTCCGTTCTTGGACATAGAATCACTTTCCAACCCATTAATCCATACTTATAACATGTAGAACCCTCTTAAGGATTCTTCACATGATATATATCTCAAATGGTAGAAGAAAAATAAAGAAAAAGTTATAATAAGGTCATTACCTTAATTATTTCACACTTTTAGCACTTTAGCTCCTTTTTGGGTGATTCCTCTTTGATGAGCTTTCTTCAACAATGGAGGAAGGAGGTTGGGTGGATTTTCTTGCTCTCCCTGGTTCTCCTTGGCCGAAAATGAGGGAGGGGAAGGGGTGAGGTATACTCATTTGTCTCATAGAGCAAATGAGTGTGGATGGGGCCACCTCCTCTTTGTTTGATGCTAAAAGGATCACATCACCATCCCCCATGTTTCTCCTCTCTATGCCAACCGACCCAGCCCTCAATTTGAGTGGCAAAAATCGTGGGTTGGCCCCCACTCATGTGGGAGGTCAACCCTTTTTGTCCCGAAGTGTACAATTTGTCCCGAAAGTTGTATTTTTCGGACTGCTTTAAATATATTTTATTTTATCGGTTCAAATAAAATATATTATGTGCTCTTACTCATTATGACATGTATAATGAATGTACATTCCCCAACTTTAATTTATAAGCCTCCGAAATTCATTTTCGGGCTGTTATCTGTTAAATTGTCGGTACCGGTAATTGGGTCTCTTTTTTTCCCCAATCGGTCAACTCTGCGCCTTTCCACGACTCAAACGAAATGTCCACCACTATATAAATATTATCTTGACCAAGATGAATAAAATATGTGGTCTCGGGAGTGTCGGGCGGCCCCCGCTCCCGGTGTGGGCCCCACGTGCAATTTACTATTCACGCGAAAGAATAATAAAAATTTACAACTTCGTAAATTCGTAAATCATTCCATAAGGTTTATTACATCATTTACTTGAAAGTAAATACATTTGGGGACGGTGTTACAAGTTCACCCCCCCTTATTGGGATTTCGTCCCCGAAATCCAAGTATCTAATCGAAAAGAAATGGGTATTGCTCCCTCATTGAGACCTCGGTCTCCCAAGTTTCTTCTTCGACTCGATCACTCCTCCAAAGGACCTTTACCATAGGAATCTCCTTATTCCTAAGCTTCTTCACTTGTTGACCAACAATCTTCACTGGTTCCACCGCATAATGCAAGTCCTCTCGGATCTCTACCGGTGGTTTCTCAAGAATATGAGATGGGTCTCGTATGTACTTCTTGAGCATCGATACATGAAACACGTCATGTATCTTCTCAAGCTCTGGTGTCAACTTGAGACGATAAGCCACAGCTCCAATCCTTTCAAGGATTTCAAATGGACCAATGTATCGGGGATTAAGCTTCCCCCTCGATACAAATCGGATGATGCCCTTCCAAGGAGAAATCCTTAGAAAAACCTCATCACCGACCTCGAACTCCAACGGTCTCCGCCGTTTGTCAGCATAACTCTTCTGTCGGTCCTGAGCGGCCTTCAGTCTATCCCGAATGATCCTTACCTTGGCCTTGGTGATCTCAACCAGTTCTATCCCTTCGAGTTTGGCCTCGCCAACCTCGTCCCAACACAACGGTGTTCTGCATTTCCTCCCATACAATGCTTCATATGGAGGCATGCCGATACTTGCTTGATAACTGTTGTTATAAGCAAACTCCACTAGAGCCAAATGCTTGTCCCAACTTCCTTGGAATTCCAAAGCACATGCCCTAAGCATGTCTTCCAGAATCTGTATCACCCGCTCGGACTGTCCATCCGTCTGTGGGTGAAAAGCTGTGCTAAACTTCAGTTTAGTCCCCAAAGATGCTTGAAACTTTGGCCAAAATCGGGATGTAAATCGTGGATCCCTATCCGAGACAATGGATATTGGGACTCCATGTAATCTCACAATCTCCTCCGTGTATAGCTTGGCCAATCTTTCAAGAGGATAAGTAATGTTGATAGGCAGAAAGTGTGCACTCTTGGTGAGCCTATCAACCACTACCCAAACGGCATCGTAGTTGTTCACTGTTCGTGGCAGCCCCACCACGAAGTCCATGGTCACATGCTCCCACTTCCACTCTGGGATGGTGAGTGGCTGCAAGAGCCCTGCCGGGTGCTGATGTTCTGCCTTAACTTGCTGGCAAGTAAGGCATCGACTCACATACTCGGCGATGTCTCTTTTCATACCTGACCACCAGTAACTTTCCTTCAAATCTCGGTACATCTTAGTACCTCCTGGATGCATAGCATAAGCCGAAGAATGAGCCTCCTCAAGTATAGATTTCTGGAGTTCCTCATTCCTTGGTATGCACACACGATCTTTAAACAATAAAAGACCGTCATCACGTACCCGAAAATTCTCAACGGGTCCTTCCAAGATCCTTTCACGGATCTTCTGACATTCCTCATCCATGGCCTGACTCCGACTAATCTCGCCCAATAGGGTGGGCCTAACCTCGAATCGAGCAATGAGAGCCCCACACGTGGACACCTCCACGCGTGCCCTCAATGCCTGTAGACATGTGAGTAGCGTCCCTGTCGTATTCTTCCTGCTCAGTGCGTCGGCCACGACATTGGCCTTTCCGGGATGATAGTCGATGATCAAGTCATAGTCCTTGATCAACTCCATCCATCTCCTCTGCCTCATATTCAACTCTTTCTGAGTGAATACGTACTTCAAGCTCTTATGGTCTGTAAAAATGTGACATGTCTCCCCGTAGAGATAATGCCTCCAGATTTTCAGCGCAAACACTACCGCCCCCAATTCTAGGTCATGGGTAGGGTAGTTCACCTCGTGCTTTCTCAATTGCCTTGAAGCATATGCAATCACTTTACCGTTTTGCATCAGTACACATCCAAGCCCTTGGATGCTAGCATCGCTGTATATATCATACCCTATCCCTTGTATGGGTAGGGTAAGGACTGGTGCTTCGGTAAGTCGTTTCTTCAGTTCAAGGAACCCTTTCTCACACTTGTCGTCCCATATGAACTTGGCCCCTTTCTTTGTGAGCTTCGTTAATGGAGACGCCAATACAGAAAATTTTTCAACAAATTTACGATAGTATCCCGCTAGGCCAAGGAAACTACGTATCTCTTTCACATTCTTGGGTCTCTCCCAATCCATGATAGCCTTTATCTTGGCGTTATCCACAGCAACGCCCGAACCGGATATGACGTGACCGAGAAAACCAATCTCCTTGAGCCAAAATTCGCATTTAGAGAACTTGGCAAAGAGTTGTTTTTCCCTTAGTCGATCAAGTATAAGCCCCAAGTGATGTTCGTGCTCCTCCTCACTCTTGGAGTATATTAAGATATCATCAATGAATACTATCACAAATTGATCTAAGTATTCACTAAACACCCGGTTCATCAAGTCCATGAATGCCGCCGGTGCGTTGGTCAAACCAAATGACATCACAAGGAACTCGTAATGACCATACCTAGTGCGAAATGCACTCTTAGGTATGTCGCTCTCCTTGATCTTCAACTGATGATACCCCGACCTCAAGTCAATCTTCGAGAATACTATAGCCCCTCGAAGTTGATCAAACAAGTCATCAATCCTAGGTAAAGGATACCTGTTCTTGATTGTGACCTTGTTCAACTGTCGGTAGTCGATACACATTCTTAGTGTACCATCTTTCTTCTTTACGAAGAGTACGGGGGCTCCCCACGGTGAATGACTGGGTCTGATGAACCCGTTGTCCAGTAATTCTTGTAGTTGGACCTTCAACTCTTGGAGTTCGGCCGGTGCCATTCGATAAGGGGGAATCGAAATGGGTTTGGTTTCCGGCTCCACTTCGATTACAAACTCTATCTCTCTATCGGGTGGGAGCCCCGGTAGGTCTTTGGGAAAGACATCCGGGTATTTGCACACGACCCGTACATCTTTGATGTCGACTTCCTTCTTGGTATCGTCCACCACGTAGGCAAGGTATGCGTGGCATCCCTTCCTCATCATCTTCCGTGCTCTCATCACGGATATTATACAAGCATTAGATTTCCCCCGATCTCCCACGAAACATAGTGTGTTTCCTTGATCATCCTCGAGCTCTAACACCTTGGTGTAGCAATCTACTCGAGCATGGTGTTTCTCGAGCCAATCCATTCCTAGGATTGCATCGAACTCCAACATGCTTAGAGGTACGAAATCACAAGTCAAAGGTCGACCCGTCACTTCTACCTCGCACGACGGATAGTAATGATTTCTCTCCACGTCGTCTCCTAACGGTGTGGAAACTAGCAATGTTTGCGTCATAGGTGTCAATGGCACGTCAATGCCCTCGGCGAACGCCTCACTCACAAATGAGCGTTGTGCCCCGGTATCGATGAGGATCCTCGCACACCTACCATTGATCTTTAATGTTCCTACATTTATACACCATGTGAGACATCTTTCCTACCCTCCCTACTCATTTATAGAAGGTTACAATGTTCACACCCACATTACTGATCAAGAAAAGGTCTTAACGTCGCGAAAAGGTGCGAAAAACTTAGTTTTAGGCATTCTGGGTGCCAGGCACGTCGTGCCTGGGGTAGGCACGATCGTGCCTGGCTCGGGAGGAAGCCAGGACGCCACTGCCTGGGAGACACGATCGTGCCTCCCTTAGGCACGATCGTGCCTGGGTCGGAACAATGCACTGGCAGACACTGCCTTGCAGGCACGATCGTGCGTGCCTTAGGCACGATCGTGCCTGGGTCGGAGAGAAGCGCAGGTACCTACTGCCTTGTAGGCACGATCGTGCCTATCCTAGGCACGACCGTGCCTGGGCGAAAACAGCCCAAAATGGTCCGAAATCCTCCCGGTTCGACCCTAAAGCTTCGTGCATCGATCCTAACAATTAGTAACCTCAATTTATGGACCAATTAAGGATAAAACACTAGTATACGAGAGGCAATACCTGCAACGGAATCCGGTTTAGCTCTCGCATCCGCCTCGGTCATCGAGTACACTCGGGCTTGGGTCCCACCTTGGTTGACGGATGCGGCATGGCTTGTGGATGCGCCGCCTCTTCCCGTGCCGCCGTTTGACGGCCCCGCACGGTTCCTTCCCGTCATGGTTCCTCCTCCGGATCCCGGAGCTCCTCCTCCCCCTAATTGTGGGCAATTTGCCTTCATGTGGCCCGTGTTCCCGCATTGATAACACCTTGGGGGTGCATTGCACTTCCCAAAATGATTTTTCGAACAATTGGCACACTTTGGAGGCCCCGTCCTTTGTGAGGAGGATGCATGCCACCGAGCATCCCTGTTCTTCTTTGCCGGTGGTGCCGGTGTCTTGAACGAACCGCCACCTCCACCGTGCTTATCCTTCCGTGCTTGCTCGGGCGGCCCCGAACTTTGCCATTTCCTCTTTTTCGCCTCCTCGGCGTCTCTCTCTTTTCTCTCATTCCATTGGGCCTCCCCGAGAAGGCCCTGCTCCACCACCTCACTGAAGGTCATGTGACGCGAGTACGTAGCTCGGTCACGGATGTCCAAGAGTAGGGCATCCCAAAAGTGTTCCGTCATGCGGTTCTCATCAACCGCGTACTCCGGCAAGAACCTAGCCAAGGTTCTAAACTCTTGTTCCAGTTGCTTAACTGTGCCGCCCTCTTTCTGTTTGAGGTTAGTGTACTCTCTCCGTTTCACATTCACCTCGTACTCGGAGTAGTATTGAGCATAGAACTCTAGCTCAAAGTCCGCCCATGTTATTTCCCCATGGTACTTCCCTTCCACGCTCTCCCACCACGTAGAAGCTATCCCTTCAAGGAGCCGTGAAGCGACAGTCAACTTCACGTCCGGTGTGATTTGCATGTCCCTTGATGCATCCTTCACCTTCTTGATCCAATCGGCGGCAACGGTAATGTCACCGGTGCCGTCAAAGGACCTACACCCCAAGGCCCTAGCCTCCTTGAGGTACTTGGAGATCCTTACTACAAAACCTCCTTCACGCCCATCATGTGGCGCCACGGGAGTGGCCCTTGAAGCTCCCCGGCTTCCTTGACCCGAAGCACCGCGAGAGCCACGCCTTGCTTGGCGCCTAAGGTCTCTCCTCAGCTTTTCTTTTTGATACCACTCAAGCAATTCGCCCATTTGGGCGAACTTGGCATCACTCTCTTCATCATCATCATCGGTGTATGTGTCACCCCCATCATACGGGGTCTCCTCGTGCTCCGTTTCTGGAACATAGGTTGAGTCATAGTCCTCGGTGTTGGTTTCATACACCGAGCTCACATGGCCATCACTCACAGTTTGAGCTTGATGACCTCCACGGCTCCCACGGCCTCCCCGGCCTCCTCCCGAACCCCGAGATGCAGCCCGGCTTCCCCTTTGGGATGTCACCGGCGCTTGCCCTCTCGGATTGTTCCTGGTCCCCATTCGCCTGCCCTCCATTTCTGAAAGAAATATGAATGAGTCGTTAGACTCCTATAAATGTCAATTGACGGAAGAACGTTACAGACACGTATTGGCCCGAGTCACTACCATACCAATTGTTAAGGGTACCGTCTTAACAATTAGAGGCCTTGCAACTTAAGCTCCAATAGTCCCATAAACGTCAAAATACAGTGCTCATGGTTTTCGGTGAAAACTCTTTTGTAAAATCTCCTGTGAGAGGTTGATTATATAGTTTAGAACTGAGATGGCTCTGATACCACTTAATTGTCACGCCCCAGACCGCAATCCAAGCGCGTGTACAACCGCCGTATAACTAAGTGACGTCACCCACGGGTCAACCTCACTTAATTACACAAGGCGTTCGAGAAAACAATCCATCCATACTCAGTAGTAAACATACATAACAACATCACATTAAACCAATGAATAGCGGAAATATTCAACGGTAAGTCATGGGCCACAACCGGCCGACAACATGGGCATGCAAGCCCCAAAAATAGTTTGTAGTAAAACAAATATCCATGAGCAAGTGTTCGGTAGTTTGAAAGAAAATAAGGAAGCACGAACCACGTCTCCCTGATTTGATATCACCCGTGAGAAGGTGCAAGTAGCAAGCTCTAGCTTCAACCTGAAAATGGTGGGGCCCCCCGAAGGGGTCAGTACAAGTACCGAGCGAGTAGCAGGCTAAATATAGAATAACTAGCGTTTCAAGTATAAGACCCAAACATAGGGTGATACTTAAATAAATAATCTTTCCCCCAAGTTATGAAATACTTATTAGTATATATATATACTTGGAAAATATCCGATCCGTAGATCACCATTTTATTCGGGAAAATAGTAATAGTCAATATTCTTGACTAAAAAAAACCCCAACCCACCCATATACCTATGAGTGTATAGGACTCCTCCTTGTCCCTACTTGTATATCACAATCTATGAGTTTTAGGATCATAATCCTTGGATACTCCACCGGTTTGTGAGTGTTAAGGACTCATAAGTCCTAGGGTCCTCCACCAAGTTTGAGTGTTAAGTACTTTTAAGTACTAGGGTCCTCCACCAAGTTTTGAGTGTTAAGTACTTTTAAGTACTAGGGTCCTCCACCAAGTTTGAGTGTTAAGTACTTTTTAAGTACTAGGGTCCTCCACCAAGTTTGAGTGTTAAGTACTTTTTAAGTACTAGGGTCCTCCACCAAGTTTGAGTGTTAAGTACTTTTTAAGTACTAGGGTCCTCCACCAAGTTTGAGTGTTAAGTACTTTTTAAGTACTAGGGTCCTCCACCAAGTTTGAGTGTTAAGTACTTTTTAAGTACTAGGGTCCTCCACCAAGTTTTCCTATGATCAACCTCCTATCAACCTAGATAGAGTCTATATCATCCTTAGTTACTCATAACTAATCCAATACATAAATCTTATGTATCACAATCCATGCAAAGCCATGCATTTAAATAAATGTATAATTAACTAACATCAACCGATATTAATTAATCCATCATCCATCGGTCAACGTTGTCGTTGACCGCCAATTCAAGCCTTGTTCACATCAACTTAATCATCATATAATTAAGTCAATAATACTCATTTGAGCTTCTTTTACACTTCAAGCTAATGTGCATTTTATATAATCTCTCATATCATATTTCATGCATAATCAATTAATTCTTTTCATACAACTTGATAATGTTGGCTAATCACATGTTTAATTATCTTTTAAACATCATTATGAAAACATATAACATTTATTTAGGTAATCTCATAATTAACCCAAAAGTTATAAGATATTAAGCCGTCCACTCACCTTGAGCTAGCGTTTTGAAGTTTTACCCTTCTTGGTTGAACTCCGGTGAAACTCCGGCGACTTTTGGTCAACTCCGGCGACTACTCCGGCGACTTTTCCAACTTTGTGAAATCACTTGAAATACCCTTTACAATTCCCTAACAAGGTTTTATAATCATAAAACCCATATTAATACAAATAACCTCAAAAAGGTTATTTTCCGGTGAACCGGTCGTTTTGGCTTCTAAGTCCGTTCTTGGACATAGAATCACTTTCCAACCCATTAATCCATACTTATAACATGTAGAACCCTCTTAAGGATTCTTCACATGATATATATCTCAAATGGTAGAAGAAAAATAAAGAAAAAGTTATAATAAGGTCATTACCTTAATTATTTCACACTTTTAGCACTTTAGCTCCTTTTTGGGTGATTCCTCTTTGATGAGCTTTCTTCAACAATGGAGGAAGGAGGTTGGGTGGATTTTCTTGCTCTCCCTGGTTCTCCTTGGCCGAAAATGAGGGAGGGGAAGGGGTGAGGTATACTCATTTGTCTCATAGAGCAAATGAGTGTGGATGGGGCCACCTCCTCTTTGTTTGATGCTAAAAGGATCACATCACCATCCCCCATGTTTCTCCTCTCTATGCCAACCGACCCAGCCCTCAATTTGAGTGGCAAAAATCGTGGGTTGGCCCCCACTCATGTGGGAGGTCAACCCTTTTTGTCCCGAAGTGTACAATTTGTCCCGAAAGTTGTATTTTTCGGACTGCTTTAAATATATTTTATTTTATCGGTTCAAATAAAATATATTATGTGCTCTTACTCATTATGACATGTATAATGAATGTACATTCCCCAACTTTAATTTATAAGCCTCCGAAATTCATTTTCGGGCTGTTATCTGTTAAATTGTCGGTACCGGTAATTGGGTCTCTTTTTTTCCCCAATCGGTCAACTCTGCGCCTTTCCACGACTCAAACGAAATGTCCACCACTATATAAATATTATCTTGACCAAGATGAATAAAATATGTGGTCTCGGGAGTGTCGGGCGGCCCCCGCTCCCGGTGTGGGCCCCACGTGCAATTTACTATTCACGCGAAAGAATAATAAAAATTTACAACTTCGTAAATTCGTAAATCATTCCATAAGGTTTATTACATCATTTACTTGAAAGTAAATACATTTGGGGACGGTGTTACAGCGGCGGTTCAAGAGGGGTCGAACCAATAACACTTCACTTTCCTCCTCCAAGACCAATTGATCGTAGGTCCGATCAAGATCATCATACTCACCTTATCTCTAAATCATCTCGATCGGTGCTGCCTAGGAATACCTACTAGGCTACTAGGGGTGGGCAAACGGGTACATGAATCGCAAGTCGGTTCAGGTAATACGGGTTCGGAGCGAGTTAGGGCCGGCTCCTAATTCTGGAAAATCCAAACGGGTCGGGGCGGGTCTTAAAAAACTTATGAACCAAACAAGTATTAGAATTTGAAAAAATGGGTACCCGAACCGACCCGTTTTTTAAATTCTATTATATTTAATACTCCCTCCGTCCCGCTATGATTGTCCCATTTTACCTTTTCGGTCCGTCCCACTAAGATTGTCTCATACCTTATTTGGTAAAATTTGTGTGGTTCTAAATCATTCTTACTTTATTCTTACTTTATCAATTTAATATCAACCACATAAACCCACTTTTATTAATAACCGTGTCACCTTCTTTTGTCCCAAACTTAGGGGGACGGAGGTAATACTACATATATTATACTAAAAACACCCAAAAACTTTCATATTCATGAGTTTTTAGAAAGAGTTTCTAAATCCATATATATAAACTTCTAAATTACTATTCCCAATTCTTTATGTGAAATCAAACTTTCTTTTTTTTTTTAAAACAAAGTACTCTTGCTCAATAAAGTGTGACATATTAGTTTATTATCTCAATTTTACTTACATTTTGAGATTTATTGAGCTTTAAAATGTTATCTTAAACATATATGTATAGTGACTAGTCTAATTTCTTATGATTTTGTGGTGCTATCTTTTTATTTTATGAATGATGATATCTATTTTCTTATGACTAGTCTAATTTGTGTAATTATTATGTGCTATTTAGTTTGTACCTTTGTGGTTAGGTGTATTGTTAACTAATTCAAAACTTTGTTTTATATTTTTATTTTAAATTTTTACTATATTATGACGACGTGAATACTTAATTAGTTGTAAAAAATTACCTACTATATGTTTTGTTAGCGTAGCGGAATTTTTCAACAACCGAGAACCCGGACTGACCTGACCCGTTTCAAATGGGGCGGCTAACGTCTTATTCCTATTTCGAGACTTGATATACTCACACTGAACCTACCCGTTAAATGAAACCGGCGGTTCTTGATATTTTCTTAATTATTCGGACCGATCCGGACCGTGTCCACCCCTAATACCTAAGCCCTTCCATCGCAACCTGCTACTTCAATGCCGTACAAATCTGGGAACCTAGAAACCAAGGTCTGCCCCAAACGTCGAAGAAATACTGCTCCGACCTGCGTATAAGTACACCTCAAGCTGATAGCCCGTATAACGGTTAGTAATGCATTTTCACTCTATAAGTATTTCATTAAACTGAAAATTCTTTTTGGATGTGCTTACTCATACGTTTCATCTTCAGTTGTCTAGATCAATGTGAGATTGATCATTGATCTAAAGGTGTCATAATGGTATATGTAGTACACCGTATATGCAGATATGCTTACTCTGAAATGATGTCTTTTACACTAGATTTTTGTTTGTGTTTTTATGTGTGTTCTCCTATACACTTTCACCTAAAATTATACGGAGTATTTTCACTCCAGAACAGGGACGGATCCAGGAAATTGACTCAAGGGGGGCGAAATTTTTCGTTAGTGTAGATGGCGAAAAATTTTTCGTTAATGTAGCGGCGCGAATTTTTTTTCCATAGTGTAGTGGGGCGAATTTTTTCGGTGTTGTAGGGCTATGCGGCTATTTTAATTCAAAAAATGACATGAATACATAAACATTCCCAACGATATTTAAATCTATTACATTCTAAGTTTAGACAATGACAAAGACATCAACCAATACATTTTAAATAACTTCTACATTGTTTAACCTCATGAATCGGTTATTGAATTGTAATTTTTGTCTACCAAGGAGGGTGTTCGTGAGTCATGACTCATGAGAAGTTTTCTTAATATTACAATAGTAATATTTATGGGATTATTATTTTTAGATAATATGCACCACATATTATATATATGGTACATATTATATTTTAATATTTGTATTAATGCTATAATAATTTAAAGTTTATTATCTATGCAATAAATTATTTTTTAGAAAGCAAGAAGTAAACAAATTATGTACTTTAATTTCAATAAACATTTATATTTTGGATCATTTCACGTGATCTAAATACTGTGTAATTAGTGTGTCTGGTATTTAATATCATTTGATATATATTTTACAAAATCCAGTACTTGTTATCTAATAAAGATAATTACACATTACAAAACTAGGAATTTTTATATAATAAGTATCCCAAATCTTAAACAACGAGTTATTCTATTGTTTATTTGTTTAAGTTATGTAAATTATTTTAGATGTTACTTCTTTCAAATCTCCAATTAAGTATTACATAATGTAAGACTATATATTAATTTTGAAAATTAAAAGCTAAGGGGGGCGAATCTAATTAAATTATGAAAGTTCTATGAAAATATTACATATATGGTAAAAAAATTTGAAAATCCAAGGGGGGCGGTCGCCCCCCGCGCCCCCCCCTAAATCCATCCCTGCTCCAGAAACCATGACAGTGTTGCACAACTTTTTTTGTTTTCAAATTTGAATTACTTTTTCATTTCCACTTTTCATTTGGTATGTATCTGCTTTGCAAATGTTGTGTATCTTTTCTTATATCATTTGTCAACTTTTGAAACCATGCTTAATTTTGATAATCTATTGTTTGTAAACGTAACAAAACAAGTCATTGATGATTCAGATTTGAAAATAATGGTTCAAGTTTTGGACTGTTTTTCCCATTCAAGTTTCCCATTCAATTTTTTGAAAAAGTGAACATGTTTTGTGAAAAAGTGTACTTTTGTTTCCTTTTTCTTCCTTTTAATCGTTAGTTTCTTTATTACCGGGTGATCGGACTTTGCCGAACTAATCCTGAGCTCTTAATTAGGAATTTAACTCAATTTCTTAAGAGAAGTAAATCTGTGTTGCTCGAATAATCCGTTGGGTTTCTGTTGTCATTGGTGGAGCTAGAGTGTTATACTAGGCTCCAGCACACTCCAAATTTAAAAAAAAAAATTAATTACTAGTATAAAAATATCCGTATAAAAATTATCTGAAAAATCTTTGTATCGGACCAATGTCTTGAATACGCTCCTGCCTGTTGTCATCTATGCACCACCACCGATAAAAATCACTTTTAATTGATTGATTGTGCATGACCCAAACCTTTTATTTCTTTCGTTTAATGATGAAATGAGAAGCTTGTTGGTTTCCAGAGGAGATCAAACTCAGACAATAATAAAGATACCGGTCTTGGTTATTTGTGTACACAAACCACTTTCATTTTGTTTTTGCATTTTTTAAACGAATCGCATGTGTACATAAGCAAAATAGTGGGAACGTAGGATGTACGCCAAACATGTACAAAAAACATGTACAAAATGGGAACTTTTCATCATAAAATGTACAATCTCTGTCCCTTTTTAGTTAACCTTTTTTGACTTTTTCAGTAAAAAATGATGAACTTTGATCGGTTATTAAGACTAATATATTTATGTGAAGATTACTAGTCTTATACTTTTATGATAATATTTTAAATAAAGAACATTTTAATATCATTTTCATATTAAATATATATTCGGTCAGAATTTAACACCATTGATTTTTTAGTTAACCTTCTTTAACTTTTTCAGTCCAAGATGGTGAACTTTGATCGGTTATTGTGACTAATATATTTATGTGAAGCTTACTAGTCTTATACTTTTATGATAATATTTTAAATAAAGAACATTTTAGGGAAAAGGGTCAGATAGGGCCTCAAACTTACATAAAAAGGTCAAATAAGGCCTTATATAGGACGTTCTGTCCGGCCGACGCCATTTGGGGTGGTTGCCGGTGGAATTTTTTGATGAAATTTTTTGAACATCTTATTCATTAAATCTAGTTTACTCATACCAAATTTCAACTAAAACTTGAATGAAGAAGGCATTCCATAATTACATTCTTAACAAGCAATTTTGACTATCAACTTCCGTGGCGTTTTGCACCAAGAATGTGCAAGTTTTAGTCAATCCAGAATATGCTCAAGTCCATGCAAGGCAGACTCATCAGCTATACTAGTCATCTACATGACAGCTTTGGTGAAGATAGGAATAAAAAGTATAGTAGGATGCTTTGTTTCAAAAATGGTTTTCACAAAAGGGCAAAAGGGTCCAGAGACCATAGTGGGGAACAAGAATCAATACCTCCAAAAACCTTCCCAGTCACATAAGAACATATGCTCTCCCCCATT